TTCTGGGAGTTGAAGTCCACACATCTCAAAGTCCACACATCTCAAAGTGGCCAAGTTTGAGAAACACTGTTTTAGAAGGCTACATGAGGAAAGAGATTAACATTTTAAAGGAGGGTGAGCTTGCAGGTTTTGTTATATCATTCAAATATGGGGTCTCTGATATTTCATCATTCAGATGCAAAGCAGAGAAACCTGACCAGCGGAGAGTCATGCCATAAGGATGCCGTTTATCCTTTCTTATCAGCTTAACTGACAAAGAGGTAATTGGTGTCCCCTAAAGCCATATGTCTGCTAAATAGCAAATGGGATTTTTCAAACTGCAGTGTGAGAAAAAACTTTTCTGGTAACAGTGAGAACCCACTTTAAGGGGAAATTGGTTCAGACAACTTTGTCCGTTGTTTGATGTGAACTCCATTATTGCCTGAAATTTTACAAAACTCAGATCCGTCAGATTTTATCCAATTAATCTGAAGGCCACCAAAGCAAGGTTTGTTAAATTGAGGCTTAACTGTATTTTTTTCCCCCCTAATCTCACCCTTTTGTCCCAAGGAATTCAGCGTACAAGTACATTTGTTGCCCCCCAATTATCTTTGCCTCGGCAGGCTTGTGAAAGAGCTAAAGCAGAAAGATAGCAACATATCTAAAATATCTAAGGATTTTTTTTTTCTATCTGTTCAATCATATCTGATTCTCAGAGACTGCCCGGACAAGTTCCTGCAGTTTTTTTGGCAAGATTTTTCAGAAGTGGCTTGCCATTGCTTCCTTCCAAGGGCTGAGAGAAAGTGACTGGCCCAGCTGGCTTCGTGCCCAAGACAGGATTAGAACTCACAGTCTCCCAGTTGCTAGCCTGGTGCCTTAACCACTACACCAAACTGGCTGCCTTATCTAAGGATAACCTTCCCCAAATTGTTAGGAATCTGGTAGCACTTTTTCTGAATAGCAAATTTTTATTAAAAGCATAAGCTTTCATGAGCTGGCTTTGAATAAAATTTGTTAGCCAGAAAAGGTGCTACCAGATTCCTGATTTTTTGCCACTATAGACTAGCACAGCTCTCCTCTTACAAGATCTTCTCATACTGGTATCCTTGAGTAGCTGGGACTATAGCTCCCATAATCCCTTGGTACAACCATGCTGTCTTGTGCTGATAAATTTGAAGTTCAACATATCTGGAATGTACCAGCCGAAGAGCTTCAGAAGTTAACGTGAAATAAGATTTGCCTGACACATAGTTGTCCAACTTAGTACCTTCTACATATGTTGGATAACAATTCCCAGGTAGGTTTTCTATAGTTCGATAAAGTTAAGGTTAATGTAGATTTTTTAAATCATTATATTAGAAGTGCCATATTGAGAATATGGAACAAATATAAACCCAAACTGTGCCCGAAAATGCCTTTATCGGTCTCAGCACAAGAAGCATTTTATAGGAAAGAAACAGTAGGTAAAGAAAAATGGTTAACTTATCAAGAGTTGTTAGAACAGGAACACAGAGAATATAAGATGAAATCAACAGATACTGGCTCCAGAGGGATTTAGTTTTCAGTGGTTTTCATATGCACAGTTGAGAGAAAGATTTAAGGTAGACAAGGCATTTGGAATTGAGCAGCGAGAGACAGAATTTGAAGTTGAACTATGTACAAATGACAAACATGTACTTGCTAAAATGTATAAACTTTTATTGAAATTTGAAATGGAAGAAGAATAAGTGAAAGACTGTATGATAAAGTGACTTGCAACATACTGATGGAACAGTGGGAAAATATCGGTTAAAAGGATTGAAATTTACATTATGTTATAAATTAAAAGAGAATTTTTATAAAATGATGTAAAGTTGGTATGTGACTCCAGAAAAAATTGTCTAGAATGTATAAAAGTACTTTAGATTTATGCTGGAAATGTGGACAATATGAAGGGTCATTTTATTATGCCTGGTGGACTTGTAAAAAAGTCAGAAATTCTGGGTTCAAATACATATAATGATACAAAGAATTTTAAAGATCAACATTCAACTGAAACCAGAATTTTTGTTACTGGGATTAATGAAGAGTCAATTAGAAAAGAGCCATGGAAGATTATTTTTATATATGCAAGATTATTATATGCACAAAAATGGAGAGACTCTGAAATACCTGCAATAGAGGAACAGTTGTGAAGATGACAGAATTAGTGGAGATGGCAAATGAACCTGTTTAATTAGAGAAAAATCAACAGCTCCATTTATTAGTGACTGGAAACCTCTTATGGACTTTTTGCTGAAAAAAGAGAAAAATGAATTTGGGATCTATGGGTCTGAAGATTAGAAAGGGTAGCTTAGGAAAGGAAATTATGATGTAACCTCAGAGAGAGGGGGTAAAATATAAATGTATCTATTACTACTGTCAGGAAGATTGGAAGCTGCTTCTTTATAACCTTTCTTTTCCTTTTCCGTTTCCATTTTCTTTTTTCACTGTTTACTATTCGTCTTTATTTTCTCTTATGGTTTTTACTTTGTTAAAAATTTATTTAATAAAAATTATAGATAACAATTCCCAGGTAGGCTGGAAACAATGGGGATTGTAGACTATAAGAATTGGAGAATGCCATGCTGGAGAAGGCTGAAGTTGAATGCTGAATATCAAATTTCCTACTTTATTTAAATTTAAAAAATTTAATTGTCACAGTAGTCTTCTGAGATCAATTTTGGGACCCATGCTTACAGTATGGAAACTGAAGCAGAAATCTGATGTGTTGAAAGTTCCATTGCTCACATTAAGAATAGAGCTGAATTCAAAAAGTTTTGGACTCCATCTTTCAACTTGTTCCATCAGCCTGGCTCTCAGGAGTTATTTTTGATATGATGTTCTTCTAACAAGCAGGAAAACTCTGGAAAATATAAACATTTATCACAATGGATGATAGGTACATATAGTGTTTGGCAAGACAGAGAATACTCCAAAATGATATTTTGTTGGATTTTGGTGGGGGGGGCTATATTATTGTGTGTTCCTTTCATCACATTAGTTCCCATGATTATATTTTATATACCTGTACAATGGAAACCTTCACCAATCTCTCTCCGTGGTATTACATTGACTGGGTCCATATGTACATTGTCATGATTACTTCTAACCAAGGTTTGATGGAAGGATTGACAATGAAGCTCAAGCTCAGAAACTTTGGCCACCTAATGCGAAGAGAGGACTCTTTGGAAAAGAC